TTAATTTTCACGTTACACCTGATCCTGTCCTCTGATTGGCCAGAATCGTGAAACCTGGGGTAAAATTAGTAAATGCACAATACGGCTGATTTCCTGACTAGAAGATCAACAGATAATTCCATTGTGACACCGGTACTAGGGGAAAATGTCATACAACTTTTAGCAAGAACTTCCATTCCGCCTAAACATATACCAGAAAGTAAAAGAGTATATTCCAAGAAGTTCAATTAGAGCTGTACAGAGTTGTACAGGCAACTAATAAGGCGTGATTATATTAGTGTGAATAATCAAATTTAATGCATACATAACTCAATATGCAGCTTTGAAATATACTTTTCAAACTCTTTGCTGCAGTCAAGGCAAATGTCTCGATTACTTGACCATCTTCACCAAGTTTGTCCAGACATCTTGGAAATCAGATATGTATGTAGGGAGGATGTAGTCCCCAGTTACTAACTCGACATCTTCAACCTAATTGAATGACACAAATTATTACAAAATTAAAAGTTTCGTTAATTTTAATTTAATGTTTACCAGTATTCATCTTTGTAGTCTTCTTCACTTGGGTTAGAATCACAATACTTAACTACAATTTTCAAAGTATTTGAAAAACTTCCTAGAGGATATTCATCGAGATTGGTTCTTTTAAAAGCAACGTATACAGATCCAGGCTGATCATAGCAGCTGGAATTACAAACTCCTCCTCTAGACCAATATCGTCTGATTCTGGTTGCATTACAACTGACACATTCTCTAACAACTGATCATTTAATGTATTGTTTATATTAAACTGTTATTTTTAGGAAAAGAATTATAATCAGTAAAGGTCTCTATATGCAGATTTACTTAATTATCATCAACCACGAACAAACGAAATGTACATGTTTTCATTGAACACGTGTTTTACGCAACTAACAACATATTCTGTTTCACAACTGGTTTGCAATTTCGAGATAGACTAGTCATGTCAGAAAAATGTTGAGATCACGTGAGAACATCCAATCAAATTTGAAGATCAGGTGTAACGTAAAAATTGTACTTCTTTGAAAAATCGCCAATAACTCAAAATTTTGCCTATGAAACTGCCTTTTATGTTCTAACAAAAAAAATTCCTTATAAAATTTTGATTTAAAATGTTGCCTATCCAACGATGTTTTGTTACCTTTAATCTTTTGTTTTGTTTAATTGTTTTGATTTCACGTTACACCTGATCGAGAATTTTAATTGGCAGTCCATCACGTGATCTCAACATTTTTCTGCCATGACTTGTCTATCGGCAATTTCGGGAATTGTTGAGCATATATCTGCTGCTGGTCTATTCCAGGCATCCCTTGTTTTAAATATATACCGATACATTATAGTGGAATTTATTATGAAATACGTAGAAAATTTTATTCTGAATGATGTGTAAATGTACAAGCATCTAATTCTGAATAACTCATGAGATATGGTAAAGAGGTACTCAGACTCAACAGCTTGACAATTGTTTTAAAAGTAACTAGAATGAAAACGAAACTTCAGATATAAAATTCAGAATCGTGAAATTATATCTAATTATTTTTGGAAAAAAAATTTTTTTTTAATAAACATTATATATCTACTAATCGGAATAGTGGGACAAATTTGACAAGTCTTACAGTTTGAGTATCACATGCACACGATCAGCTGATACTCAAATAGTTATTTTATAGTGATAGAATGCTCAAAAAAAAAAAAAATCAGTTTCTTTACTCATTCACAATCTAATTTAACAAAATTCACAAAAACAAAGGAATGTTTTACAGACTATCTACATTCAATTGCGATACTACTATTACACAGGATGAAGTGATTCATAGCTATAAGTTTAATATTTTTAAATGTTTAACAAAAGGCGACGAGGATCTTCAACCTGTTCTTTGACTGTTTTCAAAAATGTTACAGCTTCACGGCCATCAATCAGACGGTGATCATAGGTTAGAGCAATGTACATCATTGGTCGAATTTCAATCTATTGAATCATAAAATTAAAATTGGTAATTAGTCAAAATAATCAAAAAAAAAAAAAAAAAGGTAAACGCTCATAATCTGTTCATACTTTGCCATTGATTACGACGGGACGATCCTTCGTGGCATGCATCCCTAATATCCCGCTCTGAGGCAAGTTAATAATTGGAGTCCCAAGAAGAGAGCCGAATACACCACCATTAGAAATAGTGAAGGTACCCCCAGCCATATCTTCGATGGTCATTTTCCCATCTCGAGCCTAAAAAAAAAAATAACATAAAATAAAATAAAAATAAAAATAAATAAAATAAATAAAATAAAAATAAAAATAAAAAAATAAAATCAAACTAAAAATACATTTAAATATTGACAATTTAACGGATAGAAGCATACCTTTTGACCTAATTCAGCAATAACCTTTTCAATTTCTATAAATGATAATAAGTGGGCGTTGCGAATCACAGGAGTCACAAGTCCCTTTGGTGTAGCAACTGCAACACTCATATCAACGTAGTCCCTGTATATGATGGTATCACCAGACTCCGCTATAGATGCATTGACAGCTGGAACTTCTTGGAGTGCAAAACTGGATGCCTTTACAAATGCAGACATAAATCCAAGTTTGATACCATGTTTCTTGAGGATTGCATCCTTGTAAGTATTGCGAAGTTCAATAATGTTGCTAAAATGGCATTGATTTAAATTTTACTTATAACATGATGATAATTTGTTAGGATAGTTTGATGAGTGCATACGTCATGTCAATTTCGTTGAAGGTTGTCAATGAGGCAGCAGTATTTTGTGATTCTTTCAAACGTTCGGCAATTCGCAAGCGCATTCTGTTCATCTTGACCTAAGTAACAAAGATTTTTTATTATTAACAAAGTAACACCTTACTTTTAATTATCAAATATATAAAGATTTAGGATAAAACATACTTCACGATCTTCTCTTTCACCAAAAGGAGACACATCTTTTGCCTTACTTGAAGGTTGTGATGGTTTCTGAGGTGCGGAAGGTGGTGGAGTTGGAGGTTCAGAAGGTGGTGGTGTTTGAGATGCGGAAGGTGGAGGTGGAGGTGGAGGCGTGGATGGAGTTGAAATTTGGGAAGGAGTCTCAGAGGGTTTTGATTCTAAGAAAGGTGTATTAATTTACGTAAGACACTTATAGTAATGAATTTTAAAGTAAACATACCTGAAGGAGGAGCATCTTCCTTTTGTTTTGACACTGGTTCTGGTTCTGGCGTTTCTTTTGGAGAATCCACTTTTGAAGAGTCCGCTTCTGATTCTATTATTTACATATAAGTACATTATGACAAGATTAACTAAGATAATAAGAGGAATATAAACGTACCAGAAGCAGGAGCATCCCCCAACTCCACTTTGCAAAGATCTTGACCCACAACTACGGTATCTTGTTCATTTGCATATAATTCGAGTATTTTACCAGAATATGGGGAATTAACTGGAGCATCGACCTTTTAATAAGAAAATTAATGAGTATTTCAAAAAATGACATTTGATACAAAAACTAAATGAATTCAACCTTGTCAGTTTCTATCGTCACAATTTCCTCATCCTGTTTCACGAAATCACCAGTCTCTTTTTATAGAAAAACGGGTTAACGTTAAGCATATCAATAAATAATCAGCATTGGCATTTAAAGCATGAAAAAGCGAAATACTTTTGTTCCATTTTGCGAGTGTGCCTTCAGAAATTGATTCGGCTAACGGAGGAACCTTTATTATCTTTGTGGCTAGATTTATTGGATCATTTAAGAGAAAAAATAATTTATTTTATTTTATTAGTAGATCGGGAGGCAAAAATCAAATAATTACTTACCATACGATCTAATTTGCGCCTGAACAAATAATGAATGTGAGGCACAATTGTTAGACGAAACTAAGATGACGAAAGGCGAAACCTAACCTCTCGAAAAACGAAACTGACGAGGCTTCTGCGAAAGACACAACCCCTTGCGAAACCCCTGCGAAAGACGAAACCTCCGAACATCAATAAACGACGAAAATATATAAAAAAATATGAAAAATATGTAGTTAAGTCGAAACTAAGTGAAATAATCTTAAATTTCATCAGATTTAGAATATAATACAAATTCTGTAGTACATATATAAGATTAACCATATATAGAAACGTCAAAAAAATTTTAGTGTAACCTTTCCATTTATAATTGAAGATCTGATAACAATGTTTAAATTTTTTTTTTATTATCGTTATCAACGAATTTTTTTTATCGTTATCAACGTTGTCTTACCCTAGATTACCATTAAATCGATATCTTATCAGAGTGTAAGAACGAGCAAATGCACATATAAATACAAATGTTGTGTCCAACATGTTAGGGTTAATGCTTCCAATAATAATAAACGGTTGAGGTACGCAAATATGCCAACTGAGGCACCAATATTACAGTATATCGATATTATGACGTTACTTTACGTAAACTTTTTTGTACGAATAGGTCTAGGCGAAAACTACGGACACAACACTCACGTGAGAAATCCGGCCATTGTTGTGCATCTAACCTTAACTTTAATGCTAATTCTGGTCATTGTCCGTAGCTTTCCCTTTGGTCTGTATGTTCATAATAAGTCCTGTCATATGATTAATTTTTCCGTGTCTGAAATGATAATCGTTTTTAGCGATAGTTGCAACTAATCGATTTTTCATATCATGTGACTAAATTCGTCGATTAGCCAATCAAACTAAATAAATCAACACGGACTAGCCCGACTAGACGGAATATCTCGAAACTGAACTGGTTGATAATTAAATCGATCAATTATTGTAAATTTTTATAAATCGATTAGTTGGAAAGTTGTCAACAAGTTGATCTTCAACTAAACGATTCGGATCATTAAATCGGCATATAATCGTTTTATATTCAATGTCTAAAATCTAAATTTCTTAATAATCTTTCTGCTCTGGGTAAAATATAAATGGCTATTGTCTTTTTTTCAGCCATCTTATAACGATAATGGCTAGTGTTTTGATTTAATGTTTAAGGCTGTCACTTGAATTTTTTACCTAAACATATATATATAATCAAGTCATATTATGAGTCATCTCTTATTATTTCCTAATTTTTTTTTTATTTTTAGCACTATGTAGAGAGAAATTGTTTGAAGTTTGTGTATCGGTTATTTTCCTTTTAGATAAATTGTACAGCGATAATCTAGATTTGGTAATCTTTGGTTGCACAGAAGGAATATAGAGTTCAAATTAATTGAGCACTATTAGACTGAGCGCAAATTAACTATGCGCTATTAGAATACCCGAGATGTGCTGCTAACTCGCTCAAATAATTTTTCGCTTGTCGAATAAGGAGTCGAATAAGGAGTCTTTATATATAAGAAAAAAAATATTTGTGTTACAAGTTTAGAAGCTGGTGAAACTAAATACCATTAGTGAAACTGTGACAAATCTGATTGGCTGTTATATTAAATTGCATCGGTTTCACCACCATTCACCAAGAGTTTCACCAGTTTCACCAGCATCTATAGTTACAAGCCTACTAAAATCGCATCCATTAGTCATTATAATTGTTCGAAGCACATTGTCAATCAAAACAACAATCAAGTGTTTGTATTTAATATCTACTTAGAAAAATTTATAGTCTTTTTATATCTTTAAAGCTAATTATTAATCATTATAGCTAAGTGTTAATTATACCCGCGTTAATATCAACCCATTTGGATTGGGCAATTATGTTGATATATGCGAGGGTTGATAATATTGGGATAGTTTTTATATACTTTGAGTTTATTTTGTCTTAATAAGAAGTTGATATTAACGGGAGGTTGATATTAATGAGGTTGATATTAACGGGGTCAAGTGTAATTGTTAATCATTAAGCATTAAGTATTAGTCATTATACTAATTATTAAATACTAAGTATTGAGCATTAAATGTTAAGCATTAAGCATTAAGTATTAAGTATTAAGTATTAAGTGTTAAACATTAAGTAAGTATTAAGCATTAATTATTATTAGAGATGATATTAAAATCAGATAATACTGAAATTTTATTTTATTATAAAAAATTAAAAATTTTTAGAGAGTATTTGTTTAATTTTTTTTTTTATAGTTCAATTAAAGTTAAGATTCATTTTAAATTCTATTTTTAGATAACTAATAAATGTCACAGATTAAAATGAAATCTGATCAAAATAAAACTGGAGACCTCTCATGCCTACTTTTAGAGTTTATAAAACCCATATATATTCATTTATTAATAAACCTAATTCTAAAACCTACTTCTAATACTAAAAAGAATCTCAAAAAATGTCTCCTAAAAAATTTTAAATTTTCCTTAAAAAACAGAAAAATTTCATTTTGATTAGATTTCATATTAAATCTGTATTAATAAATAATAATATCTAAATAATACTTTTTTTTTATAATTAAGGTTAGCCTCTTTGGCTTATTACTTTTATTAGATTGTAGGATTATGTGATGCTTTTTTTAAGAAGACACTAAATAAGTACAGTAGTCAACAAAAGTAATGTTTGATTTTTTGACTAAAATATAAAATTTTTATTTATTAATTTTGGCTGCATATATATCAGTTTTTTTTATTTGTTTACTACTTGCAAAAGTGATCTCTTACACTTGTGATAGCCTTGATCCTTCATGTTATTAAATCTGAAACTACACGAAGAACCAATATATTCAAAATAATCATGCTTTTTTTAGAGCTGCTTTAAGTGCAGATTTATCTCTTAAGAAGTCTTCTCAGTTCTAAATATTGTCTTTCATAATCTTCTAAATGTTTTCTATAGGATTAAAATTAGGAGATTATAAAGGCCAATCTATATAATTGATGTTTTTTAAATCAAGCTAATCTGATACCTTATGAACTAAAGCATTATCATATTAAAAAATTAGATGGAAGTCAAGTAACCAATAAGTAGCAGCTTTAAATAATATGAGGTAATCATCTAAAACCTTAGAATAAATATTTTTTTTATTAATTTTTTGTCTGAGTTCTTTGTAATTATTTATTTTTCTAATTCAGCTATCCTATCCTTGTTTATTTGGGATCAAATTATTCAAAATTACAAGTAATTTATTTCTAACTAAAATAGATCCAACCAAACGAAGAACTCGCCTATGTGATTTTATACACTAGGTGCAACCTGTCTTAGTAGCTCTTGGCCTCCCTCAGGGTCCTTAACTCATTAAGGACTTTTTTTTCATTGTTCATCGGCTAGCGGTTACCTGCTTATCAAGAAGCAAAATCAGAAAATAAAACACAGAAACTAAAAAAAAAACACAGAGGTATAGAGACTACAGTAAAAGAATACAAAATATGAAAAAAAAAGAGATAAAGGAATATTGAAAAAAAAACAAAAACAAAACAGAAATTTGCTAATCTTATTGCCACGGTTATGAGCCTATGGGTGGCTTGGAAAAATTACATACTGACTAGACAAATTAGTCTCTACTTCTATTTTTCTCTAAACTAGTATGCAAAAGTAAAAATCTGATAGAAAAAATTTCATTGACTGGATTAAAATAGAGAGGTCGGAATAGAGTCTCAGGGCATCGTTTGTACAAATATCTATTGCATTCAAGGCACGTATATATACGTATTTGTTGGCATGTTCCAATTTGGGAAATAAACAATGCTGACTTGTTTGGTACATATGATATCGATTATTTGGAGAGGGTAAGCTAAAACGCACACTTTTACAAAAATTTCTTCGAAAAAAAGTAGTAGACCAACGAGAGTATATGAGGTTTTTCTTGTAAGTTTTATAGTTGTATAGTTTAGCTTCTCCATTTCTACTACTTAGAAATACACTTTTTGCTACTTCTACAGACTTGTTCTCAGAATAAACCTTCTGGTTTGGATGCTAAATACTTTGAGAAGTTTGCCAAAAAGAAAACTTGATCCCAAAAAAAACCATCCGTTCTTTTGGCGCTCACTTCTCGATATTTCATGCCTAAACAGCTTAGACTTTGTCGACAACAAACTGCACCTATTTCTAGAACCAAGTTTTAGTATCTACTTCGTTGCTCTTCTATATGTTTTGCTGTAGTTTAGTTTTTATTGTTGTTGATCAGAGGATTGTTAGAAAGAGTTGATTGAATATGAGTTCTTTGTAATTATTTTTTTTCCCTTCGGCAATCCTGTTTACTTTATTATGGGAACAGACTTTCATTTCTACATTGGCATTTGAAGAAATCTAAAATCTATAAGTGTTCCAACCAAAGAGTAAACTCACTCCCGGCATACCTCGCAGATGCCAAAACATCTACTTGCAGTCAGGACGAACCATTAAACCGCTGTGTCTTTGCCCAGATGCGACCTGCCTAGCAACACTTGGCCTCCTCCAGAGATCCGGAAC